TTTGAAGCGAATAAAACAACGGATAAGAGAGGAAAGGGAATGACTAAGTAAAGACAGGAGCTCTTCAATAGGTGCCCTCCCTCCTCTTCAGGAAATCTCTTTTCCCGTATTTTGCTTTTTGAAGCGAAGAAAACAACAGATAAGAAGAGAGGAAAGGGAATGACTAAGTAAAGAGAGGAGCTCTTCAATTTCCCACCCTATATCTGATGTTACGTTTCCTTCTTGGGCGGTGCCCTTCTTTCTCCCTTGAAGATGCAGAAAACGATCAGGAAGGACACCCGTTCCATCGCCCATATATAGACAGAGATAAATCATGAGCATCAGCTGGGTTTGCTGCCGATCCAAAATGGGCGTCCCTTTAAATCGCTTTCTGTGTCTTGAAACAAGCAAAAGGGGCACCCTTACTAAGTGTTTTCTTGTGGTGTCACTTTTCTTCGCTTGAAGATGCAGAAAACGATCCAAAAAGGACACCCGTTCCATCGCCCATGTGTGGGGAGAGAGATAAATCATGAGCATCAGCTGGGTTTGCTGCCAATCCAAAATGGGCGCCCCTTTTAATCGCTTGCTGTGTCTTCAAACGAGCAAAAGGGACACCCTAAGTGTTTTCTTGTGGTGCCCTTTTCTTCGCTTGAAGATGCAGAACACGATCTTAAAGGACACCTGTTCCATCGCCCATATATAGGGAGAGAGAGAGAGAGAGAGAAATCATGAGCATCAGCTGGGTTGGCTGCCAATCCAAAACGGGCGTCCCTTTTAATCGCTTTCGGTGTCTTCAAACGAGCAAAAGGGACACCCTAAGTGCTTTCTTGTGGGGTGTCCCTTTTCCTCGCTTGAAGATGCAGAAAACGATCAACAAGGACACCCATTCCATCGCCCATATATATATATATAGAGAGAGAGAGAGAAACAAAATCATGAGCATCAGCTGGGTTGGCTGCCAATCCAAAATGGACGTCCCTTTTAATCGCTTTCTGTGTCTTCAAACGAACAAAAGAAAACACTTAGGTTCCTCACTTGAAGATGCAGGAAACGGCCCAACAAGGACACCCGTTCCATCGCCCATATATGGAGAGAGAGAGAGAGGGAGAAAGGAAAAAATCATGAGCATCAGCTGGGTTTGCTTACATGTTCATTGTTATTCCTTTTGTTTTTTTCTAACGGAAATGAACAAGAGAAGAGAAAAATAAGAACCAGAGGAAAGATGAAAACGAGCACCGTCTTCTCTTTGCCTGATTTTGCATTTCGCCTGTCCTCATTTCTCTTCCATTCTTTTCATTGCTCTTCCATTTAGAGTTGCATTCCTGTTGATCTCTCCTCTCTCCTTTCTCTCTCCCTTCTCTTCTCTTGTTCTCCTTTAAATCTCAAAAACACACAGTGAGGAAGACAAGCTTCGAGGCGCTGGAGCCGTGCCGTTTTCAGGCATCGGCTTGGTCAACGAGTTGCTATTTGTTGTCCGCAAAGTTAGTGTCTTAAGATTGTTCACCGATTGTTGTATGATGGTCACTGATTATCCGAGAAGTTTTCGCGGGTCTTTTGCAATGGGTGCTGTCGTTGCTTTTTTTTGTTGGCTCCTTCTCGGCGGGGCAGTGGCTTCTGCGGTCATGGGAGTGTCCGTGGCGGAGGTGGACTGTAGCGGGTTGTGCGGCTGCATGATTCCAATGCTTGCGGTAAAGGCATGTGTCTCAAGGTGATTTTCTGCGGGAGTGTTTTCTGCACGAGACGGTTCAGGGCACTGCAGGACTCGCGTCCACTTCAGTTTGTGAAGAAGAGTACGAAGTTCGACAGATTGTCGAACCGACATCTGTACGCGTTGAATGATAATGTAGATGTCTTGAAAGAGTTAGGGCATCTTCATGAGAAGAAGCCTCTTTCAGTAGCAGTGATCTTTGCCGACGCACACCAAGCAACAATTGTGCACGACAGCTGGCGAGACTTGGCGTCGGCCGCAGCAGTTTCCCGAGTCAGGAAGACAAGCTCCGAGGCGCCGCAGCCGTGCCGTCTTCAGGCATCGGCTTGGTCGACCAGTTGCTATTGGTTGCCCGCAAAAATAGTGTCTTAAGATTGTTCACCGATTGTTGTATGATGGTCACTGATTACGCGAGACGTTTTCGCAGGTCTTTTGCAATGGGTGCCGTCGTTGCTTTTTTTTGGTCGGCTCCTTATCGGCGGGGCAGTGGCTTCTGCGGTCATGGGTGCGTCCGTGGCGGAGGTGGACTGTAGCGGATTGCGCGGTTGTATGATTCCAATGCTTGCGGTAAAGGCAGTGATTTTCTGCGGGGGTGTTTTCTGCACGAGACGGTTCAGGGGTCTGCAGTACTCGCGTCCACTTCAGTTTGTGAAGAAGAGTACGAAGTTTTACAGGTTGTCGAACCGACGTCTGTACGCGTTGAATGATAATGTAGATGTCTTGAAAGAGTTAGGGCATCTTCATGAGAAGATGCCTCTTTCAGTAGCAGTGATCTTTGCCGATCCACACCAAGCAACAATTGGGCACGACAGCTGACAGGACACTTCAATGTGCGCACAACGGTGCGCAGCCCGACCCGAGAGACCGCTTGGATCATCCCCCACGCAAGAGCAGAAGTGATAGCTAGTATTCGTTGCCAACATCTGACTGCGTCTGTACGTTCACATCAAAAAAGAGTAAATTATAAATCGTAAACCCTAAACCCTAAGAGAACGAAATTGGTGAATTTGTGCTTCAGGTTTCTTGGATTTAGTTTGTTTATAGGTTTTTAAATACAAAACAAGAGAGAACGTCAAATAATACATAAAGGTCCATGCCACATATATATATATATACTTCCCAGTTAAGGGCCCATATCAAGGAACCGTGCAACCACCCTCAGACTTTGGGTTCATGTTTGGGAGTTCAAGGGTTGACCTGGGTGTATGATTTAGTTCTCCATGGTCCTGTAGTATGCCCCAAGCCCTAAACCCTAAAACACGGGGAAGTGCTCCATTCCCCTTTTGTTGGGTTGGGTTCCATGTTCCTCAAATATAAATACAAATACAAACACAAATAAACAAAACACACATGAGCCCTAATCACCCCAGCACGCACATGTGCGACCCGAGAGTTCATGACCCAAAGCCCTGCTCTAAGCAAGGCACAGCCGAGCTACCCAGACACCGGAAGGAGGCAGCTCCCCTGCGACGTTTCTGAGGATTTTTGAGGATACCTCGGACCCTAAACCCTAAACCCTAAACCAGGTTCAGTTGCAGAGAGAGCCCCCTTCAAGCCCCTTTCGAGCCACCATCTGACAGTGATATGCTTTGAAGTTAACTGGGTACCAACTCGGGACAATTGTGAATTTGTTAAACCTTGTTGTTATCTAGCCCTAACATGTACAGACAATATGCGTATGTGTGTATATATGTATATGTATATATAGGTAGTATACGCAGATATCCACACACATGTTGTATCTATCGATATGTATATGTCTGTACCTACACTACTACATGTGTGTGTGTGAGTGTGTGTGTGTGAGTGTGAGTGTGAGTGTGAGTGTGAGTGTGAGTGTGTGTGTGAGTGTGAGTGTGTCTGTGTCTGTGTCTGTGTCTGTGTCTGTGTCTGTGTCTGTGTCTGTGTCTGTGTCTGTGTCTGTGTCTGTGTCGTTTTTTTTCGTACATAGACATATACATGCACATACATACGTATGGATATTCCTATGTATATATATATATATATGCACATGTACGTATCACATTTGAAGCCTAAAAAGCCTCCATATGCTATGCATGTAAATCTCGGATATGAAACCTTCATATACCTCCATATGTCCTGCGAAAAGTTGTAAGGCCAAAGTGAATTCAACATTTGTAGTAGGGTTTGCATATGTCCTGCCCTGGACTGACAAGCATGTGTCTACCTACCTACCAACCAACCTAAGGAGGGTATCCTCAACACTTCCGTGACTCCGACAGCGGCAAGAAAAGAGCCGACCCAGTGGCCATAAGACTGAGGCTTTCGGGAGTTTTGGGGGGGCTTAGTCGCTGAGTTCATTGGCCTCCCACTAACAAAGTGTACACTTTTTTTCAAATCCATGGAGGGAATGGAGTATCCCCAAAAATGTAAAGTGTACTCATTCAGCTACTAAGGGGGTGTGGTAGCACTTGTCTTCACCAGCCGAAGGTTGCATATGGCATGAGCCGCCTGGTTAAACCCCTAACTCTATCAAGCTTTGTGTGGTTTTTTTGTGAGACAGACGCCTGCTGCATGCTCAGCACTCTCGATCTGTGTTGAAGTCGCTGCTAATATTGCGCACGCTGCTGCCCCCACCCTTTCCAAGGTGAAAGAACACTGCTCGCACCAAGCTGAATGTGGGACTAGGACCGAAGCGCACTGCTTGTACCACTGTACGGTCCCGCATGTGTCGCAGACGCCACCAGCCAGAAAGAATCCTGAAGATCCTACCTGACGCCCCGGCTTAGCGCTCAAGAAGCCCGTCCTTTCCTAGCAGCTTCCAATGCCATGCAACGGTCCCTGAAGAACTCGGAAGCACACTGCGCCGGCCTTGGGCGACCAGAGGCCAAAGCCCGGCGTCTTAACCGACTGGTTTTTTGGGAATGTGGGCTGTAGACGTGCTGCTCACCCCAGGAAGTTCATCGATGTGCACAGGCCGCAAAGGAGGCTTGCAGGAGCACGGTGGCTCTGCCCGAACCTTGTGATCTACAGCCGGCACTGGCCTGCGCAGCCGTGGAGCACCGCAGCCGAGGAGGGGTCGGGCTGATCCAAGGGTGCTGACCGCCAAGGTATAAGTATGAAAAATCAATGAAGTCCAAATACACAAACAAATATATATATATATATATATATACATATACATGTGTGTATATATATATATATACACTTAATACAGTAAGCAATAGTGTTGCTTCATCACGGCAGCAAGAATTAAGTGGCCATGATACGAAAAGTGTTTAGTACATAAGACAGCTTCACTAGCATGGCAGCTGGACTTTTTTGACTCCCTTTAAACAGAGCCACCCCCCAGGAAAGATGCTGCCAGCCCCGTGTGGCCCAGACTGGTGGGCCGCCTCTCGGCCATGCTTCAGGAGGACATGCTCCCTGCACGGGGTGCGGCCAACATCTTCTGGGCAAATGGTATCCAGAACGTTGTGGGAGGGCCATGAAAGTGAGGGACCCGAGACAGTGTGTCTCCGGAACAGTTCAGGCATACTTTCTGAGAAAGTGAGAGAGTGCGACGAGCTGCTGATGGAGTTGGCCGGCTATGTAGAAAGGCATGTTGGCACCATGAACCCGCAAGAGCTTTCCAGCTGCTTTGTGACCGGAGTCAAGGTCGGGAATGCATCTCCGGAAGTCCAACAGTTGTCAAAGAGTCTGTGAGCTGCAGTTCTTGAAATTGCTGTGCCGCAGGTGCTGACAGCTGTGCCAGCCATCGCAGAGCGCATGCCGCACAGGCAGAGAACATGAGTCCTCATCATTTGTCGAACAGCCTGTGGGCACTTGCGAATTTGCATGATGCCGCGCCACAAGCGCTGACAGCTGTGCCAGCCATCGAAGAGCACATACCGCGCAGGGTGAAAAGCATGAAGCCCCAAGAGTTGTCAAGCAGTCTGTGGGCAGCTGCGAATCTGCAAGATGCAGCACCGCAAGTGCTGGCAGCCGTGCCGGCCATCGCAGAGCACATGCCGCACAAGGTAGAAGACATGAACCTGCAGGAGTTGCTGAGCAGCTTGTGGGCACTTGGGAACCTTCAAGATGCTGCACCACATGGGCTGACAGCTGTGTCAGCCATCGCACATGGGATTTCTATCAAGGTTTATCAGGGGCCATTCCCGCCGTTGACGAAGATCCTGAGCACGCGGTCTGTGGTGCTATCAGCTGACAGGTTGCTGGGGTGCTCCTCGGCCATACTTGTCTGACGGCTGTCACAATCACCTTGCGCAGTACCTGAAGTCCGTCTTGGAAGCCTCTTCCTGATGGTTCCTGATGGAACGTCTCCACCTTCCTGCAGAAGTCTCGGGTTTGGCCATCATTGTGGGAAAAACTATAGCTCGTCAGAACACCCCCCCCCCCCCCCCGAGTGTACTGCGTGGGGTTCTTTGGTCTACTGTGGAATATTTACCTGAGCTATGCAAATGCCAGATACAACTCGCTGCAAGAGTTTTCAGGCCATTAGCCCGTTAACGACATGAAGGTTTCGACGAGCAGCCGGCTGATCGGAAGATTTGACCCAACAACAGCAGCAACAAGCGAGCTGCAGGAGACGATGCAGGACGACAGCAGCTGGCAGATTCTGCTTTCGCATCATGGAATTTTCGGAGCATGGGACACACCTCCGCATGCGCGACTGACTGTGCCGCATTCTTCTGGAAATCTTTTCTCGCAAATATCAGCTGACGGT